GGACTCTACGTGCTGTGTGTCTGGGAGGCAGGGCGGGGCCGCGGCCTGCGTGTGCGGGGCGTCTGGGGTCCCCGATGAGGCCTGGCCTCAGCAGGCTCAGGCAGGGGAGGCCACACCCATCCTGCCTTGCCTGCGGGGTTGCGGGGGGGCTTTCTTTGGACTTTGAACCCAGTCACACAGACTTTGTTTTGAGGACGTGGACAGTCCTACGTTCACTTTATCAACACTACCCTTTGCTGCTGTCTGACACGCCATTCCTGTGCTCAGTTTGGACGGTTTTCCTTTCTTTGTACAGTAAACGTGATTCAGCTCTGATTGCCAGGCTGAGAGCCTCTGGTTTTAACTGGCCAGGTGGTAGGTGTGGGTGGTGCCGGCCCTTGCCGTGAGGGCTGAGCCTGGCTGCTGCGGCCATCTCAGTCCAGGCCACACATGGGTCGTTTCTCGGGCCAGACAGGCAGCCCCCCGCACTCCAGAGGCTGCTACTCCCTGCTGCCTCCGAGGGTGGAAAGTGGGACGCCCCGAGCCCCCTCCCATGTCCGTGTAGGCGGGCCTAACTGCCTGAGGGTGGTGGGCACGGAGCCAGGGATGCAGTGGATGACTTGGGGGCTTCCCACCTGCAGAGACTCAGCACAGCCTCCCGGGCCTGGGGTGGGAAAGCCACCTGCTAATGGGGTTCAGTCCAGGGGTGTGGTGGCATTGACGGGTGGGGAGGGAACCCCTGGGAAGGGTTTGGAAGGGTAGAGTCCAGCGGCTTTGTCCTGTTGCTGCATTAGATCTCCCTGCCAGGCCTGCCAAGGAGGGGCTTCCATCCCCCCCACCCCCCCTCCCGCCCAGGGAAGGCTCCTCCTCCCAGGGGCTTGAGCAGCTTCTGGGAAACTTGCCCTTTCCAGGATGCTTTTTAGATGACCTTGGCCTCGGGATTGTGTGGGGCTACAGCTACTGAAATTCAAGTCACCCCAAGTAAACACTCAGGTCCTCGGCCCCAGCAGCCCCGTTTCCAGTGTTTGCTGCCTGTGTGACTGGTGGCTATGCCGGCCAGCATGGTTTCCTCCCTGCTGAGCGTCCTGGGACCTCACTTCTTTGGTACCTGCCTTGCCAGGTCGTGGAAGAGCCTGGACCTGGAGCCATGCTGGGGGTGCTCCGGAAATGCAAAGTCCTGCCTTGCATCGGCCTCCCCCAACCCCCATCAGCTTCGGGTCACCGGAGGCCTCCACACTAGCAGAAAGGGTTTCAGTTTGACCCCAAGACCTGTTGACATGTCGTGACCCTGAGAAGGATCACGGAGAAGGTTGTGAGATTTTTTTCCTGCGGAGGGAGCAGCACGCGTACTCGTTGTGGGGTCGAACACACAGCCCCTGTGCCTATGGACGTGATGAATCTGGGTAAGGGGCTGGTGTGGACCTGCTGTGGGGGAAATCCAGGCCCTGGGCCAGCTGGGGCGGGTTGGGGAGCCAGAGGGGGTTGGCCAGCCCAGGCCCCTCCTCTGACCTGGGCTGGGAAGGTCTGAGAGGCAGCTTTGACCCCTGGGCCCTTCCATCCCCAGCCCAGTGCCTAGAGGGAGGAGGGGCTCCAATTACAGCCTCCCTCCCCTCCCCCGCCAGAGCCAGCCCTTCTCTGGCCCTTTTCCGCCCCTCCTGACCCTCGTGGCCAGTGTCTTCTGTGCTCCTGGGCCTCGGCCCCTCCCCAGCCTTCCTCCCCTCCCCACCCCCTGCCCTGTGCTGACCACAGAGGGGCCAGGCAGGGGAGGGGCTGGCGCCACATGCACAGACTCAGAGCTGTGAGAGGCCCGGAACCTACCCAGCCCCTCGCACTGCTGTGGGCTGGACCTTGGGGGCCAGGGAAGAGCCCCGGGGATCAGTCGGGGGCCGAGGGCAGGGGCAGCAACCGCAGGCCTGGAAAGGTAGATGCTTTCAGGGGGCAGGCTAGGCAGGGCCTGAGGAAGGACTGGTGGCACATCCCCCACCCCCTGGCCCAGCGGTCCCCATGCTGGCCCCGAGGCCACTCCTGCCGCTGCTCCTCGTGGTTGGGCTGACCTTGGGGGCCAGCCTGCCGCCAGGACCCAGAAGCCACTCGGGCGTGTGCCCCAACCAGCTCAGCCCCAACCTGTGGGTGGATGCCCAGAGCACCTGTGAGCGTGAGTGCGTCAGGGACCAGGTAAGCACAGGCCCTGGTTGGGGGTCGGACAATGTGGGGGGCTTAGGGCACCTTGGAGGCTGGGTGAGTCTGGGGAAGCCCAGCCCTACCCCTGCACACAGGCCTTGCCCACAGGGGGACCCCAGCAGCTGCACTGCGGCCCCATTCCTGGGAGTCTGCTGCCTCCTCAGGCTCCCCACACTCGGCTGCTGGGGTTTTAGGTTGTTCTGTGTATGAGGGTCCCAGAGGACACCCCCAGTCTTTGCCTTCATGTGTCTGAGATTAAGAGCTCCCTCCTCGCTCCCCAAACCTGCCCACCCCCACCCTAGGACCAGTTGTTCTCAGGACCAGCAAGGTCGAAAGGCAGGGGGGTTCACACGTGGACACCTGCCCTGCAGCCCTACCCTGCACCACATGCAGTGGCCTTGAGCACGTTGTACGTGGCCCCCCACCCCCCACCCCTGCCCCGGGCCTTGGTTTCCTCGTCGGTGTGATGAAACCTGCTCTGTGGGGTGAGGACCTGAGGATTCAGTGAGCTTCGGTGACATGACACGCTCGACAGGGTCTGATCGTAGTAGAGCATGGGAAGGAAATTTCTGGGAACGTGTTGGGCTTTTCCCGGGGGACACAGGTTCCGGGAAGGGCAGTTGGGGCTCAGCTCCCTCTGGACAAGCTGACAGGCGGAGCTAGGGTGCCCACTGAGCTACTCCCCACTCCCCAGGACTGCGAGGCCGCTGAGAAGTGCTGTACCAATGTGTGCGGGCTACAGAGCTGCGTGGCGGCGCGCTTCCCCGGCGGCCCAGCGGTGCCCACACTGCTGGCCTCGTGTGAGGGCTTCACGTGCCCTCAGCAGGGCTCCGACTGCGACATATGGGACGGGCAGCCCGTGTGCCGCTGCCGGGACCGCTGCGAGAAGGAGCCCAGCTTCACCTGTGCCTCGGACGGCCTCACCTACTACAACCGCTGCTACATGGACGCGGAGGCCTGCCTGCGTGGCCTCCGCCTGCACGTTGTGCCCTGCAAGCACGTCCTTAGCTGGGCACCCAGCAGCCCAGGGCCACCGGAGCCCACGGCCCGCCCCACGCCCGGGGACGCCCCCACGCCGCCTGCCCTCTACAGCAGCCCAGCCCCACAGGCGGTGTACGTGGGGGGCACCGCCAGCCTCCACTGCGACGTCAGCGGCCGCCCGCCACCCGCCGTGACCTGGGAGAAGCAGAGCGACCAGCGGGAGACCCTGATCATGCGGCCAGACCAGATGTACGGCAACGTGGTGGTCACCAGCATCGGGCAGCTGGTGCTTTACAACGCCCGGCCCGAGGATGCCGGCCTCTACACCTGCACGGCACGCAACGCCGCCGGCCTGCTGCGGGCCGACTTCCCACTCTCCGTGGTCCGGCGGGAGCCGGCCGGGGCCGGGGCACCCATGCCCTCTGGCCCGGCCGAGTGCCTGCCTGACCTGCGGGCCTGCAGCAGCACGGCCCCTGGCCTGGTCCTCTGGCACTTTGACCCACAGCGGGGAGGCTGCATGACCTTCCCCGCCTGCAGCTGCGAAGGAGGTGGCCGCGGCTTCGAGACCTACGAGGCGTGCCAGCAGGCCTGCGCCCGGGGCCCCGGCGATGCTTGCGCGCTGCCGGCTGTGCAGGGCCGCTGCCAGGGCTGGGAGCCGCGCTGGGCCTACAGCCCGCTGCTGCAGCAGTGCCACCCCTTCGTGTACGGCGGCTGCGAGGGCAATGGCAACAACTTTGAGAGCCGCGCGAGCTGTGAGGACGCCTGCCCCGTGCCGCGCACGCCGCCCTGCCGGGCCTGCCGCCTCCGCAGCAAGCTGGCGCTGAGCCTGTGCCGCAGCGACTTCGCCATCGTGGGGCGGCTCACCGAGGTGCTGGAGGAGCCCGAGCCGGGGGGCGGTGGCATCGCCCGCGTGGCCCTGGATGAGGTGCTCAAGGACGACAAGATGGGCCTCAGGTTCTTGGGCACCAAGTACCTGGAGGTGACGCTGAGTGGTATGGACTGGACCTGCCCCTGCCCCAACGTGACGGCAGGCGACGGCCCGCTGGTCATCATGGGGGAGGTGCGAGACGGCGTGGCCGTGCTGGATGCTGGCAGCTACGTCCGCGCCGCGAGCGAGAAGCGCGTCAAGAAGATCTGGGAGCTGCTCGAGAAGAAGGCCTGCGAGCTGCTGAACCGCTTCCAGGACTAACCCCGCCCGCCCTGCCTTCCTGTCCTGCTGAATAAAAGCCAGCGCTTCCCCAGACTTCGTGGCCTACAGGTGCTGGACCTCCTGGGGGGCCCTCAGCTGGTGTCCCGCTAGCACACTGGAGCATGGGCTCTAGTCCCAGTTCCGTCCTTGGGAACCTGCGGTTTCCCTGCAGCAGCACAAGCCTCTTGGGGCAGGAGAGCCCAGCAGCCGGCTCAGCCAGCAGGGCCTGAATTCTCACTCCCTCCTCTGTCCCCTCAGCAGAGTAGCTGGTCCAGGAGGCCCCCAAGCCCTGACCCCACAGGCCAGACTCCCCCCTGCCCACCAGGTGTGGTCCCAGGAGGAGGCATGGTTGACACCAGCAGTGAGCAGCAGACAACACTTTATTCCCAGGTTCTAAGCAGCCCTGTGGCCATCAGCCAAGAGCCCCCAGACCGGGCAAGGCCAGTCCTCATGGCCCAGCCCTGGGAGGCAGGGGCTGGCCTCTGGGTTTGGTCCAGGGGAGGGGGGGATCTTGGTGGAAACACAAACACGCGAGAGCAGGTGCAGTTACTCTTTCCGGAATATCAGGCACTTGTTGTTGGCCGGCATGTCCACCTAGGGCGAAGCGTGGGCTGCAGTGGCTGACCAGGCCCCCAGGGAAGCGGCCCATGCCACCCGCCCTCCCACCTACCATCCTTTCAAGGAGCAGGCCGCTGGCTTGGCCCAGGTCCTCCAGGAGGGCCGTGTCCCGCAGCCCCCACTCAGGATTCCTGCAGTGAGGGCCAGGCGGGGGAGAAGGTGCAGTTGTGGCTGGGGGCAGCCACCCAGCCCACCTGCCCTCCCAGCCAGGCCCCCCACCCACCATCCAGCTCTGACCTGCATCTAAGAGTCAGATCAAAATCCACGTTACTCTGCGGAGTGATCTTCCCATTGATGGCATAAGGCTGCGGAGATGGGGACACGGCTCTGCCCGCCACCCACAGACACGGGGTCAGCCATGCCTCCGTGGACACACAGGCAGTCTTGCACGCCGGCACCCAGAGAATGAAAAGGACACACCCCTCCCTGCCCCCAGGGCGGGGGACAGCTGAGGACCAGCTGGTGAGCCAGGGGGTTGGAGGGAGACTGGCAGATGACCAGAAGTATGTTCAAGAAGGAAGACCCTGAGTGCAGGGCAGTCGAGGAAGAAGGCAACTGAAAATACTGCAACCAAAAGGAGGGAGTGCAGAAAGTAGGACGCAGCCGAGACTGGCTGGGATCAGGATTGCCTCCCAGGGGAGGCCCATCATCTCTGGCCGAAGCACTCACCCCATAGGTGATCAGAAGCGCCTTGGGTTTGAGCAGATGTCCCGCTGCCCTGAAGAGCCCCTGGGGAGTGAGGAAGCAGGATGTCAGTGAGGAGCTTTCTCTCCCCAGGCACCTGAAAGAGCCCTCCACCTCTCTGGCCAGAGACTCAGCCTGACCTCCTCAGGCCTCAGTGCCACCCTGCTCCCTCCCGCTGCACCCAGAGGGCTGCCCCGCAGCGCAGGTGGGTGGCTCGCCACGCGCCCACAGACCTCGGTGCAGTTCAGGGGGCTGATGTGGATCATGTTGATGCACAGCAGCAGATCCAGCGACTGGGGCAGGATCCCGCCCCAGTGCTCCCAATCCCAGGTCACGTCCAGGTACAGCGGGGCCTTCACGTTGGACAGCCCCTGAGCCTGAGTGGTGGCCGAGATGCTGTAGAAGGGCAGCACATGATTGAGGGGAGCTGAGGGGTCCCCCGGTGGCGTGGGGAGTCGGGACAGCGGAACAGGCCCTGCTCCGCCTGACCCCGCGCCCCGCCCGCTCTCGCCAGCCGGGGTCCCGCCTTTCCCGCGCCCCGCCGCACCTGTCCAGGCAGCGCTGGTCCACGTCGGACGGCTGCCACTCGGCGTGGGGGAAGGCCCGAGCGAAGTGGGCCGTGTGCTGGCCGGAGCCCGAGGCCACCTCCAGCACGCGGACGCCGCGCTGGGCCGGGTCCATGTACTGCCGCAGCACGCGTAGGATAGGCTCCTTGTTCCGCTCGGCCGCCGCCGCCACCAGCATCGCAGCAGCTCAGCCGGCCCGCCGGTAGCCGCAGTCAGTCGCCGCGAGACCCACCAGGCGCCGCAGTCCGACGCCGCGCGGCCCGCCGGGAGTTGTAGTCCGGTGCCGCGAGGCCGGCCGGGAGTTGTAGTCCGGCGCCGCAAGGCCGGCTGGGAGTTTAAAGGGCCGGCAGCCGCAGGAGGGGCACCGGGAGCCGCAACCCCGGCGGGGTCATTGGTCGGTTGAGTTGGGGTCGCTGGCTTACAGGCGACCGTCAGCTCAGTACCCAGTGGCCCATGGTCGCTCCGGCATTTTCATGGAGCTTGTCACTGTCTCATTCTCCAAAATTGCCTTGTCCGCGTTGCTCCGGAATGGGTGTTTCCTTGTGGTCTTCTTTCCTTTTGAAATTAGTGTCGTTAGCGAGAATTAGTTTGTTGAGATGGGGAAAATGAAAACTACCAGATGCGCCGCCCGGGAATCGAACCCGGGTCGCAAGAATGGGAATCTTGCATGATACCACTACACCAGCGGCGCTGCTGACACACAAGCCGCCCGCGAGATTTAAGGGATTGTGACGCAACCTCCCGGCGCGCAGAAGTACCATAGTACATGCGCGCCGCCCCTGGGCGGGGGGAATGCCCGCCCCAGCGCCCCGAAGCCGGCGGGCGGGTTGGGGTGGGAGCAATGGGACTGGCCGGGTCCGCGTGAAGTGAAGACGGGGGCAGTCTCGCGGTGTCACCTGGGCCCCCAGCGCTAGAGCGGACAGAGCGGACCTAAGGGACGAGGGCTGGGGGCCACGATTCGCGCCCGCGCCTTGGAAACCATGGCAACTCCGGGCGTCCGGAGCCGGTGGGGCGTGGCTACGATAGCGTTCCTTGTAGGCGGGCCTTCGCGGTTGGGCGGGGCTCATGCCGGCTGGGCGTGGGTGGAGCGGCCCTGGCCGGCAGGGACCGGACGGACCGGAGCTGTGATGCTCAGGGCTGTCCTGCGAGGCCGACAAGACCCGCGCTAGCCCAGGGTTTGCGGACGTTGTGAGGGGGCTCGGCGACCCCGGAATCGAGTCGGAGGCTTATTTGTTGTGTCCAACGGTATTTCCCGGGTGGTCAGCTTGGGGCCCGTGGCTCCGAGGGGCCCCGTTCTGCAGGCTGAGGGCCGCGTTCCGCAGCGGGCTAGATTCTCTCCCTTGTTTGCGCAGTTTTTCACGAGAGAGACCCCCATACCTGACAGCACTCTGGCCGGGGCTCAGAGGGTGGCCCCAACCCAGGCTTTAACCTGGGATTGTCGTGGAGGGGCCGGAATGTGGTTGGGTGGGGGCGAGGACAGTCTTGCAGCTTAGGGTGGGGAAGTGGCGTAGGATTGTCGGGGCTGGACCGGCCCCCTAGGGAAGTGCTACTCAGTCGGCGGCCGCCCCCTCCAGGCAGCCACACTGGCATTCTGCACGTGACCACCCTTCCCTAGGCTTTCTGTTTCACAGGCCAGAGCTTCCCTTGCCTGAATCACCTTTTGCCTCCTTCCACCTGGTCTGCCGGCTGAGCTGGGCATTTTCTGTATCCTTACATGTGCGGGGGCTGAGAGGAGCATCTGCTGTGGTTCATAACAAGCCCCTTTCAGCCTCACCTGGGTTCACACCAACCAGGTGACTCTTGGAGCTCAGGGGTTGGTAGCCAGGAGACCGGACGTGTGATTAGAAGGCTGGAGACCAAGCCCATCACCAACCATGAATGATCTCATCAACCACACCTGTGTAACGGGGCCTCCCTAAAAACCCAAAATGAAGGGGTTCTGTTGCCTCTGGGCACATGGAGGTGCCAGGAGGGGGAGGGTGGTGCTCCCAGGCAGGAGGCAGGGCCTGGAAGCTCCGTGCTCCTTCCCCACCCTCACACCCCCCCTACCCGCCCTGTGGGTGTCTTCTATCTGCTGTTCCTGAGTCATAGCCTTGATGATGAACCAGTAACCGTAAGTAAGGTGTTAGGTCCTTGAGTTCTGTGCGCTGTTCTAGCAAATTATGGCGCTCGAGAAGGGGGTCGTGAGAACCCTGACTTACAGCTGGTGACAGCCTGGACGTGGTGGCGAATTCATGGGATGGGGCCTTCAGCCTGGGGGGAGTCTGCATTCATGCCTGGCAGATAGTGTCAGAATTGAGTTAAATTGTAGGACATATATAAAGTGTTGCAAGTGTTTTCCTTTACACCAGGTGTTCTGTAAGAGGCAAGAAACCAGACTGACCAGTCTCCCTGATTCCTCCAGGTCATATGGCCCAGCTTCAGAAGCTGCCCAAATACCCAGCAGTGTCTTCATTTAACAGCACTTGGCCTTAGGTTGTTATCTGATGTAGGAAAGACGTTAGGGTTCGAAGCCTATGGCCAAGAAAGAATTCTTGGGACATCTTTGGTGCAAAAAGGTGGTTTTATTAAAGCACAGGGACAGGACCTGTGGGCAGAAAGAGCAGCGCTGGGGTCATGAGGAGTGGTCTTTCTTTCTTTCTCTTCCTTTCTTTCTTTCTTGATTTTATTTATTTGACAGAGAGAGAAGGACAGAGAATGCAGCAGGGGGAGAAGGAGATGAGACTCCCCGCTGAGCAGGGAGTGAAGGCAGATGCCTAAAGACTGAGCCACACAGGCGTCCCCCCATTACATCCTTTCAAGTTGGGAGGGGGTTAGGGACAGTGTAAGTCTCTAAAGCATTTGGAAGCAAGATTTCCAGGACCTTGAGAGGGCTAGCTATTGTTGGGTAAAGGTCATTTATTACCATCTAATAAAACCTGAGTCATGAGACCCTTCAGATGTATATCGGTGGGCCATATGCTTGGGGGATGCTGCCAACATGTATCTTGTGGGGTAGAGATAAAGGAAGTTTCCAAAGGAATTCTTACATGTTAAAGTAGACTCACAGGGTCCTGGGGGTGGGGGTGGGATGAGGCTAGGATTGCCTTTTGCCCTTAGAAAAGTGTCAACATAGAGGCAGTTGAGTCCCTAGAGGAATGTCACTCTGCCTGTTTCAAGGACTTGTCCGTGGGCTGCAGGCAATAACCACCTGCCACATTTGCTGCTCTGGGCTGGCCTGGGCTGGCCGCTGTGTGAGCTACCCCCTGCCCGCTGCGCTCACCAAGCTCAGAGCTAGAGAAGGCTGCAGTATGTGCACGAGTGTGTGTGAGTACGTGTATACACATGTGAATGCTTGTGTGAACACGTTCGAACACATTTTCTGGAAAGTCATGGTTGTGTGTCAGACTCTGAGGGTCCAGGACCCCCAGTGAATGCTGAACAGTTGTCCCCTGGAAGTATCTGACCCTGCTAGGGCCTGTGCTCGGTGGGGCATTCTAGGATCTTGTCTCCTGAGGCAGAATTCAGCTCCCAGGCAGCCCTCCTGAGCTTCTCACCGACTGTGTGCAAGGTACCTCGGCACGGGCCACCTTTCCAAATAAGTGTTTAGCCACATGATAACTCTCTAGTGCCCAGAGAGCTGTGAGCAGACAGGAGACCCCCGATAGGGGTGCAGGCTTCCTCCGCAGCCCTTTGCTAGGCACTGGGCACTCCCCTTCCTGTCCCCTCATCCACCGCCACCTCCCTTGATACACTGGCTTCCTAGAGCTACTGTAACAAATGACCCCAAACTCGGTGGCTTAAAACAATGGACATTTATTTTCCCATACTTCTGGAGGCTCCAAGTCCGAGAGAAGAATGGTCTGCTCCCTCCAGAGGCCCTACAGGAAGAAGGTGCCTCAGCGTTTCCGGGGGCTGGTGCCTGCAGGCACTCTGCCTTCACCTTCACCTAATCTCTCTACCTGCGTCCAGACGTTCCTCTTTCTCCTACAAAGACACGTCATTGGATTTAGGGCCCATCCTAATCCAGGATGACCTTATCTGGAAACCTTGCCTAACTTACAACCACAAAGACCTTTACTCCAAATAAGGTCACATTCTGAGGTTCCCAGTGGGCATAGCTTTTGGGGGGACACCCCTCAACCCCCCAGTGCACTTAGGTTTGGGAATGGCCAAGCAATCCCTGAAACTGGGCAGTAGACCCAGGAGCCCCCAGCCAGCGCCTTTCCGGGGAGTCTGCTGGCCGGCCCTCCACCATCCTGGATCTGCCTTGCTGAGGGCGTAGATTTCAGATGGAGCCAGTTACTGAGAATGACTGAAAACAAACTTCCTCCTCTTTCAGGTTAAGTTTTAGAACTGTATTTAGAATCTTTGAAAGAAAATTTCTATTTGCTTTTATTACGACGACTGGGGTCTGTGAGGCGAAGGCCTTTTCTTACCCAGACAGCCATTTTATCTGCAAGCTGGGTGAGGCCCCTCCCCCCGGGGCGGCTGCCCTGCTGGGCTTGGGGGCAGGTTCCCAGCCTCCCCAGCAACAGGGAAGGTGGCAGGCCCTGCAGGGGCTTCACAGCCAACACCCCCACCAGGGTGTGTCCTGGGAGCAGTGAGGCTGCCAAGGCCCCTCTGGGGGAGACTTGCCCCCCCAACCAGATGCAGGGGGCTTCACTGCCTGCCCCCACCACCTGGCCTTCCTCCTCCTTCAGCTATCCTGGGGACCCCTGGGCTCTCCCTCACCCCATACCCCCCCTCCCCTGCTGCTCCTGCACCTTCTCCCCTCCCACCTGTCAGGATCATTTGTGCTCAGGGGCTTCTCCCCAGAGCTTTGAGGGCTCTGGACCCAACCTTTGACCTGAAACAAGGCCTGCAGGTAGGGCTTGAACGTTAGAGCCTCAAGGCCTGGGTTTTCAGAGCGCTTAAGCGAAGGCTGGGCCTGTCTGTGCAGGCCTGAGGGGTGTGCCCGAGGGAGGGGCTCTCAGAGTCTGTGTCAGCCTGGGGGCCTTGCTCCCCACACCAGGGGGAACACAGCCCCCCCTCCCCGAACCTTGGCTGTCTCCCCAGCATGAGTGAGCAGTGTGCTCAAGGCCAGGCAGCCAGCACAGATGGTGCAGAACCACGCTGGCCTTGAGTCGGCTATGGGGAGGGACAAGGGACAGACACTGCAGGGTGCACAGGGGGGCTGGGGAGGGGCTTGCTCGGGCCTGGACTCCTTGGACATGCTCTTGCCTGGGGGGACCCTGTCTCCCTTCTCAGGATCATAGGCCTGCCGCAGGCCAGCCCA